ATGGCGGCTCTCCGCTTATGCAAATGAAGCCCGGGAAATTCAAATCCCGGGCTTCATTTGCAAGTGCGGTATGCCTACATTATCCTCCTAGTTCGAACTAGGATGGTAGTGTAGACATACCCTAAGAGGTGAAGGCAAAAAATGCTACTGACACATCATATGGGATGGGAAGCTTTAAACTCTGGTTGGACTCCTTCGAAGAAGTATTGAATCAGCACATCTTCTCAATGCTCCTCACCCCCTGCATTGCTTGGCCAAGGCTGTTGATTTGTGGGCTCTATCAATTTGCTTTGAAGTTCTAGTTTCAGTGAGGGTTTCAGGAAGATTGTGGTTGTACTTCCATTTCCCCTGCCAAGGTTTCTCCACAAGAGTGCTACAGCACAGGCTGCTTGAAACTGAGCTATGAATCTCACCTATTATTTGTCTAGCATATCTGATCTGTTTTTTTTCCCGTCTCCTTTCCTCTCTAGGTGTGATAGCAGTTGCAATATTCATTCTGCTTTGCATCACTGCCATAGCTGTACGCATTTATAAAAAGAAAAGCATATATAAAAAAAATGAGGCAAAAGGATCAGAAAATGAGGACAGTGCTGAGACTGCCCTGAAATGTGAGCTCAGCATGCAAAGTACAGTCAACGAAAATCAAAAGGAATACTTCTTCTGATTGGCATTTCTGATTTAATTTGATATACTAAGGTGACAGTCTGACTTTCTTGCTAAACCAGGGGCTCTCGATGGACAAAAAAAGCTCTTGCACTCCAAGTAAATGCAATGGATTTGAGACCTATTATACTGCATATGTTTAGTCTCAGTGATTGCTATAGGAGGCCTCTTTAAATGACATGCATTCCTTAGCTATTATACCGTAAATGCATTTTATGTAACAGTGAATTAGATATTGTAACCAATTTCATTGTTGGTAGTTTCCGACTGTTCTGATGTGACCTTCTACAACTGAATCTTAACGTGAATACTGAATATGGTTTTTAAGTAGGAGAATTGTCATGAAGCTATTGCCCCCCATCCTTCTCTTTAAAATCTGTGATTCAGGCATTTTGTTCAAGGTTAAAATTGGACTGCAATGTTTACTTGAGAAGCTCTGCTATGTTGCTTTATAGTGATCCTCGGTGACTTCCTGATAAAGAAATTCCTTTTTAACTATTTTTGGCCAGTATCCACTTCTGCTTGTGAGCTGTCAAGCCAGATACCCAAAACTAAACTGAACGGTTGGTCATATGAAATGTCAAATGTTGTCATTAATGGATCATTTTCTAACCTGGCTATGAAGAGTGGGATAATTTGATTTGTTTGGCCCTTTTTATTCACTTGGACATATTGGCAAGCTTCAACTACTGAACTGAATTTCTAAATTTGCAGTTCTATCAGGGTATAGGCTGAAGTGTGAACAAAGTATGCCAGTAAATTTATATGTTACGTTTGGCTGTGGGTTGCAGGATGTTATCACATTATTTACATAAGAAAATGCCCTCTGTCTATTAAACCATCCCTGCCCAAGGCAAGCTACTTATTTGAAAAGATGAATCATTTGCTTATTGATTATCATTACCAGGGCTCAACAAATCTCTGAATCTACTCGCCCGTGGAGAGTAGATTTCAGCTGGTCGCCTGCTCACCAGCGGTGCGCGCATGCGCAATGCAGGTCTTGTGCACGCGCAGTGTAGGGCTGACGAGTAGGTTTCACCGCAGGTCTTGTGCATGCGCAGTGTAGGGCTGGCGAGTAGGTTTCACTTCTGTTTGTCAAGCCCTGATCATTACCAATAACAGCAGCAAAAGTAGTAGTAGTAGGCAGGTAAATTTTGAAAATTGGAAACTTATCAATGCTGCCTATATGTAATTGTCTCCTTTCACTATAAAAGGTATGCTGTTTGAAAGCAGCAGCAAAAGTAGTAGTAGTAGGCAGGTAAATTTTGAAAATTGGAAACTTATCAATGCTGCCTATATGTAATTGTCTCCTTTCACTATAAAATGCATGCTGTTTGAAAGCAGCAGATATATGATCTTCCACAAGTCCCAAGATTAATTTGTATAAAACAAAGGAAATCAGTTTCTCTTTTTGATCCTGGTAAGATAAGACAAATGAAAAATATCACACTTCCTGATACTCTAATTCTCTTGCACTGCACCCCATAGTAATTCCACCACAGTAAAATATTACAGTGAATTATAATAATTTTCCTTTTAAGCCAAACATACAGACTTGTTAGGCCAAAATTTTGAGTCTGGCCTCTAAACCTGAGCCATTCGGGGACATGAGCTTTTCTGGAGTTAAGCTTTGTATTCCTAAAACTTAAGAAATGATATTTTCATTATTATATCCATCTGAGAAGATAGGAATGGTGTTTTAGAAATTACTCAGTGCTGGCCTGATTCTTCTTTCATTGAACCCCTGGTGGTACCCCGGATTCAATAAGAATAGAAGGTAGGTCTACACTGCAGAATTTTTTTCAGAAAAATGGCTGTTTTCTGAAAAACTTCACTTGAGTCCACACTGCAATCGGACACTTTTCCGGAAAAAGTGCTTTTCCGGAAAAGCATCCTGCCAATGTAGACGCGCTTTTTCTGGAAATACTTATAACGGAAAACTGTTCCGTTTTAAGCATTTCCGGAAAAGGGTGCCAGTGTAGACATAGCCTAAGGGTATGTCTACACTACAGAGTTTTTCCAAAACAACTTCAATTATGTTCACACTGCACTCCCATTCTTTTGGAAAAAAATCAAAAGAACAGAGGATTTTTTCCAACATTGGTAAACCTCTTTCTACAAAGAAGAAACCTTTTTCCAAAAGAACAAGAACTCTTTTGGAAAAAGGCATGTGTGAACGGGGAAGAGGGAGATCTTTTGCAAGAAGAGGAAAGAAGAAAAAGCACAAGTGCCCTGGTGGCCGCTCTGGCCATAATAATCACAGCTTAAATGCGAGATAGCGTCCATTCAGTGTGGATGCTATCTTTCGAAAAAACAGATCCCTTTTTTGATGCGCTTTTGCTGTGTAGCTGCTCTCTTTCGGAAGAAGTTTTTTCAGAAGATCTCTTCCCGACAAGCTTCTTCTGAAAGAAACCTGCAGTCTAGACATAGCCTGGGTTAGCTCAATTCTGAACATATTTGAAAATCACAGCCTAAATAGCCAAATGCATCATCTGAGCACAAAAGTCTGAGGTGGCTGGCCAAAAATGTGCATGTATAATATTGCTTTATAGAAATCATGGGTGTAAATTTACCTGTTGAGTTGAGGTCTCTGAAAATGTCCTTTAGATTTGTTTTCCTTCCTCACTTGTTGGCTCTCAGTCCCTTTTTCAGCAGTTGTC